TCTCTGAAATATTTAGCAACTGTAATCTCTTTATTGCCTTGTTTGAATCTAGCTACATCAGCTGATTGTCGATCCACACGAAACACCCTATATTTTTGTTTGCGATAGTCTGATCTGAGAGTCACAAACACTCTGACACCTTTAAGGTACCAATTAAGAAAGTCAATTTCATTTTGATCAAGACCTTGTCTTAAATCATCTCTTGATTTTTCATGTTTTTCGCGAAATATTTTGGGTATAATATCAATTATAGGTGCCGCTGGATAAAAGGTGGTAGCACGTGTACCCACATTTATTATAAGTCTTCCTGTGAAAATTAGGTTAATTTTGTCCCATTTTAACTTAATTGTCGTTATTTCAAAAACATACCCCATCCAGGCCTTATTGATTGAAAAAATCCATATCTCATTTCAATTCCTCCCGGCAAATAAATAGGATTGTTAACACAAGAAGGTGGAAAGATGGCCTTCATCACAGAAAAGTACTCTGATAAAACTTTGTTATTTGCAAAAGCATTTAAAGCACTCAGATTACTTTGGATTCTTCCATCCCAAGGAGTTCTTGAGTTATTTTTAACGTAATCTCTAATGGTATTAAGGATGATCTTTCCTTGATGTTTGATTTCGACTCTGAAAGTTTTTCCCCGTCCTGAACCGTCAACTCCAGGTACTGTGATCTATAATCATTTAAATATAAACTTATAAACATTACTTAAGTTAATGAAATAATTTTAATATTTATTTTAATCGATATTACATCATGATTCATTGTTTGTTTGGTATGACCTATTGCAAGTTTGGTTGGTGAATATACATGACTAACATCATAAACTGGAAAAGCGTTTGGCCCAAATAATTCGGACAATTTCATTTGTATTACTTTGCCTTTAACTGATAATACTGTTATTCCGTTAAATTTAAAAGAATAAAAATATATTTCCGGATAACCAAACTATTAAAAAATAATAAAATGTAATTATATAATAAGTTTTTAATCTCATCTCTAAAGAGTAAATAAAAAAATAAATATGATTTACATTAGTAACGCCTATGAAGTTTGCCTTCAACATAACCTCTTTACCTAAGATACCTGGCTTTTCTGGCCGCCTAGCGCGCTTCACGATAAATTCCTCAAGCATTTCACTGGAATCTAATTGATTAATTAATTCCGGTATTTCCAAAACTTTGCAGCTTTCATCCTTTGTTAAAGAAGGTTCTTCCTCAGGAATTTTGCAATTATCATCTTTCGTTAAGATGGAATCTATTTCCGGAATTTCCAAAACTTTGCAATTTTCATTATCAACATCTTGAAATTCCACTTGTTTGTTATTATTTTCGAGAATTAATTGAAAATCCTTTTTTAAATTTTTAGTTACTTGCAGAAGATTATCAACGTTCTGATTTTTAATAATCGATTCAGATTCCAATTCTTCAATACGAGCTCTTAGAGAAACAATATCTTCCTCATATTTCCTGCAAACCTTTTCGAATTGAAGGGAATTCTTTTCTGCTTTAACAGTGTTTTCAACTTGTTGCTTAAGATATTCTTGATAAGAAGTTTGTAATTCTATACTCATTTTATTACCGAATTCGACAAATATTTTAGTTTGTTGTTTACCAAATTCTTCGAATACTTTAGTTTGATGTTTGCCGAATTCCTCAAATAATTTAGATTGTCGTCCGATTAAGTTTACAAACGAATCATTCGGGAGGATATTTTGGCTGATCGCAGTGTCATCTTGAGTAGAAGGTGCTTTGGAACCTTCAGCCATAATATTTCCATTACCATTCAAGTGGAAGAATTGGAAGAGAATTTTCAAGTGGATACCCGTATTAAATAGTTAATCTTGTACATGATTTTGACCAAATATAAATATATTAAATTACATAAATGACACTGATTTCAAAAAAAAAAATTCTCGTTACACAAAATTTATAATGCCACTGAACGATACTAAACACTCTTCTTTAAAAAGAATCAATTTACAAAGAATGTAGTCACAATCATTCTATTACTGATATTATGAATTTATTTTCGCAATTTCACATTTGAATAGAAAGTCAATAAATCGAAAAAAAAAAATAAGCCCTATCATTGAAATTTAGAAACACAACCTGTACGTTTTCGTATGGTACGGAATTTATACCGATTACTATGTTGAGAAGCTCCACTATACATAAACAGTTGATATTTGTTAAGAGTCTTTCTATTCATGGTGGATTGAGCGTTTATTAAAGTTAAGCAAAAATTTGTTTGGAATAAACATATGAAAGTGTAAAGAATTAACTTTCAATCCTTAGTATATGAGTTAAGAACATAGCAAACCTCCCATATGTTCTAAACGCCAACTATTGTAACAAAATTTGTAAAGGATCAATAATGTCGAAAGGAATAAAACAAATCTTTTAAGAAAATATGCAACATAAAAAATAAACCACTCACCTTATCTTTTATGGGAGATTAATGAGTGGATTAAGGGACAGAGTCCCTGGCTATTCACATCACTAGTTAAAATTACATTTCAGTAAAAATTTGATAAATATTCCAAGGTACTTAGATATACAGTATAAGAGCTACAGCTATTTGCTCACGTAATATACTGTTTTATGATTTCTCGACTCTATAACAATAAACAAATAACTCAACAATAAAATTGTAACACTTAATATTTATTCAACTTCTTAAAAAGTAAAATTTCAATAAAATAAACCGGCCGGTAACTTTAAGATGAATATTATTAAATAATGTCTACATAAATCGGAGGAATTTCATATGCAAATCACGTGCATGCAATTTATTGGTCAGAATTTAATAATAATTTGGGCTGACACTATCGTTATTATAATTCTGGCCCGAATTATCGTAATTAATTATATTATCTTTTGAATAAATTAACTTTTTTTTTAGCTGATAACCATTTTTTTTCACAAAATTAATTAAATTCTTTAAAATGTCAAGTAAAACAAAAAGACAACAGCAAATTAGCAGGTTATCTAGAAAAAAGGATGTTATGTATCTGAAGATCAAGTTACTGATGTTAAAGAAGAACAGATAGAGAAGGTTAAAGTTAATGAAGAATGTCCAGAAAATAAAACTGTAAAAAAAAATGAAATTTTAAAGAATAAAGTTTCTAAAGATAAAACTGTAAAATATTGAATGGAAGAAGATTTTAGAGGATTGAAGAAATAGGAAAGAGGCTTATTATTGAAGCTCTTTATTGACATTAAGATATTACAAGCAGTATTAGGACGATCTATACTGGAGATTTAAGAATAACGTTATAGAGAAAAGAAAAAAATAGGACTGAATTAGAAAAGCATGCTAAAATAATAAAAAAGATCAATAATTTCTTTAAACTAACTTCTGGAAATATTGAATCATCAAAGCTAATACTAATCAATACAAAATCTGATTTATATATATGTTTAAAAAAGATTAATCAATTATGTTTAATAGAAAAATCTAAAAAAGAAAATTATAGTATATT